AACAATAGTTTCTTCCAGTATCTACAGAAGATCGTGTTGAACAATAGTTTCTTCCAGTATCTACAGAAGATCGTGTTGAACAATAGTTTCTTCCAGTATCTACAGAAGATCGTGTTGAACAATAGTTTCTACCAGTATCTACAGAAGATCGTGTTGAACAATAGTTTCTTCTAGTATCTACAGAAGATCATGTTGAACAATAGTTTCTTCTAGTATCTACAGAAGATCATGTTGAACAATAGTTTCTTCTAGTATCTACAGAAGATCATGTTGAACAATAGTTTCTTCTAGTATCTACAGAAGATCATGTTGAACAATAGTTTATCCTAGTGTTTTAAGAACTTTCTGTTAAACATTTTAGTCTATTTTAGTTTAGATATTTCTGATCCATTGACTGGTTTATGAAGAAGTAGCACTTTTAAAAAACACTACAACAAATGTACAAAAGCTTTATGAAACAGTACAACCAATGTATGAAATTAAGAGTAGATAAGCTTCTTTGGCCATTGTGTCTAAACACAGCTAGATGTAAGTACTATAACTTTTTTAAACTGTAGTATTGATGTGGGTATATAGGGAAGAAGTAAATGACAAACTTGGTTATGCACTACCAGCACTTGTGTTTAAAATTTTTTAAGTTATGATAAATAATTAAAAATAACGTTTTATATTTACACAATTAGCTCAACTAATGCCTGGCCTACAAGACTGTCAGTGCTGCCAGCTTTGTAATTACTACACCAAAACCAAGTTTCTATTAGACTGTCAGTACAACCAACACAAATGTCTACAAGACTATCAGTGCTGCCAACTTTGTAATTACTACACCAAAACCAAGTGTCCATGAGACTGTCAGTACAACCAACACCACATGTCTATCAGTGCTGCCAACTTTGTAATTATGACACCAAAACCAAGCGTCCATGAGACTGTCAGTACAACCACACCCCATGTCTACAAGACTGTCAGTGCTGCCAACTTTGTAATTATGACACCAAAACCAAGTGTCCATGAGAGTGTCAGTACAACCAGCACCACATGTCTACAAGACTGTCAGTGCTGCCAACTTTGTAATTACTACACCAAAACCAAGTGTCCATCAGACTGTCAGTACAACCAGCACTACATGTCTATCAGTGCTGCCAACTTTGTAATTATGACACCAAAACCAAGCGTCCATGAGACTGTCAGTACAACTAACACCACATGTCTACAAGACTATCAGTGCTGCCAACTTCGTAATTATGGGTTGTACTGACAGTCTCATGGACACTTGGTTTTGGTGTAGTAATTACAAAGTTGATAGCACTGATAGTCTTGTAGACATGTGGTGTTGGTTGTACTGACAGTCTCATGGACACTTGGTTTTGGTGTAACACCACATGTCTACAAGACTATCAGGGATGCCAACTTTGTAATTACTACACCAACACCACATGTCTACAAGACTGTCAGTGCTGCCAACTTTGTAATTACTACACCAAAACAAAGTGTCTATGAGAGTGTCAGTACAACCAACACCACATGTCTACAAGACTATCAGTGCTATCAACTTTGTAATTACTACACCAAAACCAAGTGTCCATGAGATTGTCAGTACAACCAACACCACATGTCTACAAGACTATCAGGGATGCCAACTTTGTAATTACTACACCAAAACCAAGTGTCCATGAGAGTGTCAGTACAACCAACATCACATGTCTACAAGACTGTCAGTGCTGCCAACTTTGTAATTACTACACCAAAACAAAGTGTCTATGAGAGTGTCAGTACAACCAACACCACATGTCTACAAGACTATCAGTGAAGACAGACAGGCACACCCATAACTGAAAAACATACATAAAAATGATAGAAGAAATTGATTTAACAGAAAGACAGTCTGGCAGTTAATTAGTACGAATATCTAGCCCCTTCTACAGCATCACATGATTGTATCCTCCATGTTCTGAGCTTTTTTTTACAGGTGACATCAGGAAGCTGACGATTTGCTCTTCAACCGAGATGCATAACAAAGCAAAGAACATGTAAGGATCTCATCCAATGAATGCACTTTTCAGTGATTCCAGGATGATAAAGAACCAAGTACCTTTTTAAACTATCTATGAAAAAAATGCAATATGTAGAGAAAAATGTGAAAGCGGAGTGTTATAGTAAATTGAATGGAAAAATAAGAAAAGTAATGTAAATTTATAACAGATTTAGTTGTCCCTACCAATATGCGTGTGTGTGTGTGTGTGTGTGTGTGTGTGTGTGTGTGTGTGTGTGTGTGTGTGTGTGTGTGTGTGTGTGTGTGTGTTGTT